AACGTGGCTGCGTTTCCGCTTCCAAAATCCACGTGCAGACAGCGGCCAGACCAAAAGAACATCCAGACAATTGTCAATTGGAGCTGCTGCTGCTGCGGCTGCTGCTGCTCTGCTCTGCTGTTGTAGGTCGGAAATTGATGCGTGCGGACGCCTCGAGGACAATGGCCATGGACGTGGACGTGGACGTGGACGTGCAGCGATGCGTGCCCCCACTTTGGAGCCGAGCGAGTGGCTGAGTAAGAGCTGGTGAGTGAGCCGGTGGCATGGCCATATATAAAGGTGCGTGCTTGCCCGAGTGCGTGCTGCGGCTGTTGATGGACCTATTGGACATGAGTTTGAGTTTTTCATTTTGGTTTCGGTTTCGGTTTTGGTTTCGGTTTCGGTTTCAGTTGCTGTTTTGGTTTTTCAAAAATATATATCGCACACACACGAGAGCGAGAGAGAGAGAGAGAGAGAGGGAGAGAGAGAAATGTGTATGCCAGTCAGGAGCCAATTGTTGCATGACTTTATGAATGGGGCCGGCCGGTTCGACGCTGTGGCCGTGGCACGTATGCAAGTGCTTCCCTCTAATCAGTCGGCAGTCGGCACAGTCGCACACAGGAAGAGCGTCAAGCCAAGTGGATTGGTCAAGAGAGGCGCCACTCGCCAGTTATCCATCACGTTTTCTCGGACACACGAGGCATCCATTTCAAATAGCCAACGGGGCAGCGTATCGACGGCGCATTGTTTTGATTTTGCTTCGCTTTTGCGAAAATCAAAACAAAAACAAACGAAGAACGCGGCTTTTTCCATACTTGTATGGGGCGTGATCGATAAAGTTATCGATCGTTGATCACTCGACAGACGATGTAATGAATAACCGTATCAAATTCTGTTAATGTGATGTATGTGAATAGTTTTAGAGCAAAGTTGAGGTGCCAAAGTTATCGATTAGGCAAGCGTCGATTAATTGAGAATCGAAGTGAAAAGGCTGTTGTGAAAACAGTTTCAGCTAGAGCTAACTTGACCAATCGATAATTATATAGCCTTAAGCCCATCGATAAACAATGCATTCCCAAATGATGAATCGAACAGAAGACAGTTCTGTCGTAGATTAAAGTTCAGTTCAAGTTTTACACTCAGCTCGCACCTATTAATTGAACACCGATAAGCCCATCGAAAAGAATGGTTCAGTCAATACTCGAGTAGTCAAAGGATGCAGTCAGCCGTTCTAGTTCCAGTTCCAGTTCCAGTTGAGTTCCACTTGCAGTTGCAGCTGAGGACCCAGTGGCTTAGAGGAAGCAATAAACTAAGCGCGATCGCTGATCTGTCAAGATGCTCGTCCCCCAGGAGCAAGCAATAAAAGTGACACAGGTGATAAAATAACGCAACGAGATGATTCGTTTTTGTTTTGTTTTTTTTTTTTTACTTCTGTGACTTCGAGTAGCAGAGAAATGCGCGCTATCAGCGTGTAGGATCTGGCAGGCGAGGATTTTATGGCGCTGTGAAAGGTAGCATAACTGTTCTTGGGCCCTGTTACACAATCGAAACACAAAACGATTCATAATTCACAAAAACAAAAACGTAACGAAGCAGAAAACAAAACACAAACCCAAACAAACAATTAAGCAATAAAAAGAGATCGAGTGAGTGAGAGAAAGAGAGAGAGAGAGAGAGAGGGAGAGATGGGAAATTGGAGACAGTGCTCAGCTCGGGAGCTGAGAGTCAGATTTTAATCACACTGTGCGTGCTTCCGATGAAATATATATATAAATATATATATATGGATGTGTGTGAGCCCCTCTGATCTACCACAAAATCTTTGCCTCTGGGGCGTAATAATTTTTTTATTTAACAAAATGATGAACTGCGACGAGATCTTGAAGATCACTTGAAATGAATTAGCTGAAGTGGAAGGATCGGAGCAGCGTTGGAGACCTGGTCTTGGGTAGCATCAGAGTTGCTATAAATCTAGATCTGAGTTGCTATAAATCTATATACATTATATATTGCTTCTGATTATGATGAGAAGTTTGCCAAGATGAATCGCTTGAAGTGCAAGCAGCAGTGAGCTCAGCCCTTGTGGAGGATGAGTTCTGTTATAAATCTAACTATGAGTACATATATTTACTTAATATTAAATACGATTCTGCGATCTCTGATTTGATGAACTGCGAAGATCATTTGAAGATTGTGAGTCCGACGATCAAGGCAAATGCTCAGAATGTGGCTTGCTCTTTGACGAGGATTCGTCGAGTATCAAATCATAATTAACAATATACACAAATGTACCCAAATTATACGATCACTTTAACAAACAAGTACATAAATAAAGAGAAACATTTATTGATCATTAAAATTCTTGCTCTAATATCTTTATTTTGTATTTTTTTTCCAGTCAAACGTCAATTGATCGCATTCCTCACTTTATGATATTCTCAAAAAACAGAGTAATCACCTCTAATTGCTATTTTATATCTGTATTATATGCAATGTATTAGCTGATGGATTGATCAATCGAATGCTGATCAGCGATCATTGACTCTGTTGTTGCCTTTTTGTCAAACTCCCCGTTAGCCGAGCCATAAATTATGTTTGCCTTTTTTTTTCAAGCCAAAAATAAACTAAAGTCAACAAGTGATCCACATCTGAGATCCCCCCTCTCCCTCTCCCTCTCCTACTTCAGTCTCTGCTGTGCTCCGATCTGTTCATTTCTCGTTCACTTTTCTGGTATTTAGCAAATAATTCGCATGCCGAACCGTCGCAGCGCCGTCGACAGCGGCGACACAAAGTGCGCAGTTGTGATCGGAATTAATAATTAATATTCTTGCACCTACCGAAAGCCAGCGGAGCTCTGCAAAGATCTAGTGCAGCAGAGCGCGCTCAGCCTGGCAATGCCCACGGCGTTGGCGCTGATGATGAGCAGCGGGCCCTGTCAATTGCGGCCGCACACTGGGCTGAAGTCGATCGAAAAAGAGTTGACAAAAAATGAGGGGCATGAGACTGAAGTGGAAGGAAGTGGAGTGAAAGGAGAGCGAGAGATCTTACAGAGAGAAATAGAAGCCAGTCTATTGGGTAAGGCAATACTGAATTGAAGAAAACCAGATCAAGTTAATCTGGGGAATATCATAATAGCTCTATTACTTCAATAGAGGGAGGGAATTTAGTATCTTGTAACTTAAGAGTGATCAGACAAACTATCATTATCATTATCATTGTACCTACTATTCATGTTATATTGAAGATTCCCATTATCATTGACATTACTATTGCAGTTGACGTCATTATCTTTGACATTCCCATTGTCACTATCTTTTTTTGACATTATCATTATCATTATTGGGTCTCATTATCATTTTAACTCTTTTTCCATTCTCATTCTCATTATCAGCAGCTTCAGTATTGGCATCATCATAGGTATTTATAATTCCTGAGAATGACTTTTAGTTTTCCAATAAAAATCAGCTTGCGAATCAGTGTGGGCGCAGAGTCAATAGCCCAGAGCCAGCTTCATGACCGTGACAGCTCGACGCAAAAGCGAAGCGAAATCGAAGGATGAGCAGGAGCAGCAACAGCACAGTTTAAGGAAGCAAAGGCCACTCGCGCCCTCCCCCCTTCGGAGTGAAGTGCAGATTCGAGTACTGCAGAGAAGCGTGGAGAGGGGGGGTAAAAGTTTTGTTTTTATTTTTGTTCGCTGTGCTCTGCCCTCGACTTTCAGTTGTCATTTGCGTTGTTCGATTAATTGCAGAAATCAATTTAAGCAATGCAACTTTGCCTCATTGCGGCATTGTTGTCATCGCTCGTTGTTCGCTGTTCGCTGTTCGCTGTTCATTGTCGTTGTCATTGTTGCTGTTGTTGCTGATCGATTCATTGGAAATGTGGCTTTGGGGCTGGAATTGGGAATGCCTCCGACTGGGTGCCCAGCTCCTGGTCCCGCCCGCTCAGAGCTGTGCTAATTGCCAGCGAGCTGGCAGCCCGGCTAGAAACCTGCAGACGGGAGTCGAGCTGAGTCGTTTGATGCGTGCAACATCTTCCGGCAACTAGCCATCCACGGCAAAAAGAGTGTGACAACGCGCGACAGCCTCGAGATAAATCCAATTAGTCTGATATTTGTACTTTTTATGTGAGAATTCCCATTAAAAATGTAAAATGTCATAACAACGAGAACAAGACAACAGACAAACAGCAGCAGCAGCAGCAGTTGCGGCAGCGGCAGCGTCGACTGACAGCAGCAGCAAAGCGAGCGCTGCCGTCTATTCGCCATCATAATACCCTACCATAGCTAGGCAGGCGCTCCACAGATTGTGAAATCCTCGAGCGATTTGGCTGACAATTTATATGTGAGCTGGAGAGAGGCAAACAATATTGGCTGACAGCACTTCGGATTGCATATAACACGACTATAGTCAATCTTAGTATTACGAAGATATACTTGGTGTAACCTAAAAGATAATACCCGGATCTTATAAAAATATATATGAGTCCAAGGCCTTAGCTTTAACTTTATAGAGTTATAACTCATATAGGTTAGGAATTTATAGAATGTATAAAGGTTTTTTTTTGCAAGCTAAGAAAATCTCTCTGAAAATGGCTTTTGACATTCTGAATGATTTCTCATATAGAGATTCCTCACTGATTTTATGAAGTTTCTCCTCGATGCGAAGTGTTCACAAGCTGCGCCGCATAGCTGGCGCACCTGCAGCTGGGAGATCAACACGTTAATGCTGACAGCAACGGTTCCCGCTAAGCTGCTGATGCAAGCCCGAGTCGGAGTACGACGAGTCTCAGTCCGAGTTTGAGTATCTCATAGATGCGACATGCGCCTTTGACGTCCGTTGGCGGCGATGTTGGCGACGTCTTCTGGCTGGCATTCAATAATTTTATGCTAACAAATGCGTCGCCAAGTGGCGCTGCTGAGCGAGGAGTCTGGTCGGCAAGGGCAGCGAGGGGAGGGGGTTGGCCAGGGGGCAGAGGTAGGGGCAGAGACTTGGAGAATCGTTTACGGTAACATTAACACTTACCGCGCATTCACCGAGGACTGTGCAGCGCCGATCTCCTCCATGGACTTTCTGCGAACATAGAAAGAGGAAGATAGTGTGTGAGAGAGAGACGGAGCATAGAGATACAGAAACAGACACAGAAACAGAAACGTTGAATATTCGATTAGTGAGCGCGTTGGGAAAAAGTTGACATTTTCTAAATAAATTAAATTAGCCGATAAATGTGGCCCGCGGCGTGGCAGAAAACTCACCTGTCGCCCCAGCAAAGCGCATCCTCGCGATATCTGAAATGCACAGAGGAAAAGGAGAAAAACACATTAAACTCTCTAAGTAGGCATGGTCGGGCTTCTGGAAAATCTTTAAAAGAAAGGTGAAAACAAGTTTAGATCTCGTTGCGATCTTAACAAACCTCTCTGAGCTGTGCTTAGAGTTCTCTAGCCTAAAGTCGGCACTACAAAGGAATTGTCAAGTTTATAATACGATTCCCAGTCAAAGAATGCACTCTTCCTCCCTCTATCTACCTCATTTTGCAGTCTCGTAAAAATCCTAAATTGCTTACTCTCAGTGTCTGTCATCTCTCTCTCTCTCTCTCTCTCTCTCTCTCTACAATCTTTCTCGCATTCTCTCGTTTTGAAGGTCTTTCTGTCTCTTCCCAGTTCTATATCGATATATCAATCCCTCGCCCTTTCCCTCTCTCCCACTCTCTCTCTCTCTCTCTCTCAACATTCACTTATCTCTTAGCTTACTTTCACTAACTTAAAAATTAGTTGGCAAAACAAAAAACCTAGAGGAGTCAGATATAATTCCCTCACTATCCCTGAAATCGAAAGTCGATGGCTTCTTCTTAATAGTTTCTCAATTTCTCAGCCGCTGGCTTGGCCATCGGCAAGGTCAACAGGAAATCGAAATCGTCTAATAAACAACAATCAGCGGCAAATTGCGATCACAGCTCTGGCAAAGAGCTGCGCATTATCAGAGCCGCGCTTTATAATCAAGTGCAGCAGGCCAAAAATAAAATTTATTGATTTGTGCCCCACTCTATATTCCTCTCTTTCCCTCTCTCCCTCTCACTCTGTCACTCTCTCTGTCTGGCTCAGCGCCAGACGATTTTCGTCATAGCAGCGAACAGCTCGTAAATCATTGCCCCACAAAAACACAAAAGCCAAAAAGCAGAAAATGGAAAAAAATACGAATCGAGTGTGGCACAAGTTCCTAAAATATTGCGATCCTCTCAACTTGTCCCGTTTTTTTCTTGTCTCTTGAGCGAATTGTGGCCTGACCCTCGAATGGATCGCATCGAGCGTTGGCACAGTTCGATTCCTGCGAAGGTTCGACAGAGATTCGACGGTTCGATCCGCGACGCGCCACGGCAATTATCCAAATTGTAATAATAATCATAAGTTTTCCCCCTTTTGGTATTCTATGTATATCCTCTTGGTCGGCTCTGTATTCGGCTTAGGTCAAGTTTGAGGCGTAGGTCAAGTTCTATAAGCAGAAACAATTATGAACTAATTGCCTTCCATAGGGCAATATTTCCTGAAAGATTGCCGAACGGACAGACGGACAGACGGACATAGCTATATCGACTCAGCTCAGACAGTTAGAGAGGAATATATATGACTAGATATATAGACAGGCAGATGAACAGAGGCATAGATAACTCAGATATATTCGTGAGTCTGAAGCTGTCAATGCCTCTGTTCATCGGTCCGCCATAAAGCGGGATATATTCATATATACAGATACACTCTAGTTTTGTAGATGCCTCCCTATCTGTCTGTCAATCCATCTATATATATGGCATTGGAAGGGAAGCTAATAAGACAGCTGTAAGTCCTGACAGGAAATGGAAAACCAAAATCTAACAAAATTCAACGGATTCAAGCTAAAGTATTCAGTTAGACTTCTTCTTTCTCACTTATTGTGTTCATCTTCATCTATAAGACAGCTATAAAAGAATGATTCTTTGCAATAAGCAAACATTACTAAATAGCATCACAGGCCTTTGCTAGCCTTCTTGTCGCCTCTCCGCAAGCACAGCTCTCTGCTTCCTCTTCCCCAATGTCTCAAACCATGTCAAACAATGTCAACTGCAGCGCTTTACCCATGGCTGCTAGAGACACGTGTTCTCCCTCAACAGCTCAGCAGCTCAAGAGATTTAGAGATCCTGAGATCGATCGGTCGATCGATCGATTGCATAGCTGCAATTGCATCTCTAGAGGCAGCTATTTTTAAGAATTGGCCTAAACGCTAGCTCCACAGCTCGAGGGGGAGGCAGCAGGAGTAGCAGGAGTAGCGCTAACAAAGAGATGTCATTGTCGCCAACAAAAAACCAAGTGCAGAGCAGCCACTGAAAAGTCTCGATAATAACAGATAATTGTGTAGAACATGGCCCAACTATTTTGCCACAAGTACAAGCCAGGAGCAGGAGAAGGAGCAGGAGCTGGAGCTGGAGTGCATTGAGTATGTGGCTAAACAGTTGGCCGAGCCGAGGGCCTGGGCAACAAATCAAAGCCTCATCAGCGTTATAAAGTTCAAGTCAATCGATACGAGGAACGAGAGTTTCGCAACCAGGCGATGTTGTTGTTGTTGTTGCTGTTGTTGTTGCTGCTGTTGTTGTTTTAGCTTGTTTTACTTAGAGCTCGGTCCGTGGCTCTGTCTCCTGGCGAGGCCTGCGAGTCTCTGCCTCCTCCTCCTCCTCCTCCGCCTCGACGTCGTCGTCGTCACTTTGATTGCGTTTCGTGCCCAATTAGTCTCAGAGCACTTGAGTGCGTAAAAACTTGTACCGCACCATAAATAAATTGGCATGAGCAAAACAGGAGTCAGTCAAACAGAGTGAGGGCGAGCGAGCGGGAGAGAGAGAACGATCAGAGAGTGCAGAAGGGGGGTCGGTAGAGCATCTGTAGACGAGTCAACATCATCGACGTCGCCGTCGTCGTCGTCGTCTTCATCGACAGCTCTGGCAATGTCGCGACGTTGTCGCCAAGCCGAGAGACGCCGCATTGTCAATATATGGCGCTGCCCGGAGGGCTGCACCAAGTGGAAGGGACACAACTCAAATTACATAAGGCCTATCGGCGAGTGACTATTAAGAGGTTGGCCCAGACTTCGCTGGCTCTGCTGGCTCTGCTGGCCCTGCTGAAAGTGCCCATAATTATGGAACATATTTCATAATAATAAGGTGTGTAATCTCCACATTTAACTAGGCTACGAAATGCTGCGGCCAATTAACTGGACGCTCGCCCCCAAACACTGCGGCCGCCCCCTCCCCATTTGGCATCTCCCATTTATGCACTCGCCGATGGGGACAGGCGATTACTGAAATGTTTCTACATACTTAAAAAGCAATTCCAGTAGTTGTTGTCCGTGCTCTGCGCGTCCGTCTAGACAGACGATGACAGCCCAGTCCGTTTCATATTTCGAGAATGTCTTTATGAGAAGAGACGACATCCTCTGATACACTGGGGAATGGGCGTGGGTATACCTGAAAGAGGCTTTACATATGCCTAAATAGAGCAGTTGTATGAGATACCAGAGATGCTGTAGATGTCGTGTCGTATATATCTATAGTATTTCTGGCCTCTGCGTGCAGTTCTAGTATATGTAATATACTTATAATGGGGACTCACTCCATTTACACCATATGATATCCCTATACGCTCTATATCGTATGTTTTACTGCAGTTTTCAAGTGAATCCCCCATTTACTGCAACATCTAAATTCTATTACAACTTCTTTCGATTTGCTCCACTGTCAGCTGCTCGTATCGTCTTCTAGTCAGATCAACAGCTCGCATTTAATTTTGAATGATGCTGTCAAAGCGCCCAAAGCGATTTGCGGTCGGACACTGATCAGCACGCGCGTCTCCACCTCCACCTACCCCCTCCTCTCTCACTCTCTCGCCTGGCTGTATCTAGCACTATTGATTGTGCCCAAAAGAGTTGGAGATGCCAGCGATCTGTCGTAATGTCGCGTAGCCACTTTGTGGCTGCGGTAGCCGTGCTCGATTATTTATATTAAAGTTGAAAATAGTTGGGGAATAGTCAACAGAGAGAGAGAGAGAGGGGGGGAGAGGGAGAGGGCAAGTGCTAAGTGGCAGATTGAAGATCTTGCGCTGTGCAGAGCTACAATAAATTGAGGCTTCGTCACAGTCTGCGCTCATATCGGGGCGTTTATTTCTGCTTAATTTTATTTTAACAATTTCTTGGGCTGTGCTTGATTTTTTTATCTCTCTCATATATATTATTTTGCTGCTTCCTCTTTAAAGTAATTTTTGTTGTTGTTGATGTTTTTTCTTGCGTTTCTGTTCGATCTCTTGGCCTTAATATCAAATTTTCGCTCTAAATTCCGCTGATCAATGATTGCCTTTGCCGTTGCCTCTTCCTGCAAGGAGGGCTCTGCTCCTGCCCGTCTCCCCCTCCAGCTCTGCCGCTGTCTCTGTGGGTCGTTTGGTCTTTTTGAAGTCGAAGTCTGTTGACTGACGAACTGTTCGACTGATCGACTCTCAACGATCATCGACCGATCGGCCGATCGACCGCCTGTCTTCTTACCGACCTTGCGTTGTTCTTCTTGTTGTGCTTCTTTTCTTATTTTATTTTATTTTATTTTTTGTGCCTTGTCGGCAGGGATTCCAACAATTTCGAAACTTCTCATACATATTTATAAGTTGGCAAAGTTTTACGAAAAGTGTAAAGCTCTGCCCACAACTCTGCTTCAGCGGATACCCTAGCTGAGCAGGAGTCGATGGGGCTTCCTTGTATCTTTTGACACAGAGCTTGATTGATGATTGACGCTGATTGATACTGAACAACATATATACTATAACATAAATGCTAGATTGAAACACTGAAGATGGATCAGATTTCACTTCCATCATTCGATTTACCGATTGATGATTGAGACTGACTTCGTCTACCGCATCTACATCTGCTTTTGCTGATTGCTATTGATTGAATGATTGCTGAAGTGTCCCCTTTACAGCTGCCTTCTGATATCTGGCTAAGCCCTAAGACTTGAGAGTATTCCAAGTTCGCATCCTTCCATGCAGAGCTCCGTTTTTAGCTTGTTTTCCCTCAAACTTGCGGCTTGTTTTTCGGTACTCAAAATTTATCTCAATTATTTGATCGCTGCTGAGACTTTTGAAGGCAGACAAAGGCCAGGATGCAGCAGACAGATGTAAGTCTCTCTCTATATCTCCCCTCTCTCTCTCTCTCTCTCTCTCTCTCTCTCTCTCTGTTTGTCTGTCTGCTGTGCGTTCAATCGATTTATGAATCAGAGCTAATCACAGCACAAGGCATTTGGTATTCCAAGCAGGGATTTGTACTTTTGCACTCTGGGTGTGTGCGTTGGGCCCCGTTTGCAGTTAGAAAAACTGCAACTGTTCGCCAGCTGGTCGCACCTGAGCTGGTAAAGTGGTGGGAGGTGGGAGGTGGTGCGAAAGGCAGCCAAGGGCCAGCCCTGGCACTGGCATTGGCTCATGTGTTGTGTGTGTGTGTGTGCCGTTTAATCATTGTTATTGTAACATGGCATGAATTTCAATTAATTTTACGCGCTACCAGAAGACAACAACCACAGCTACAACAACAACAACAACAACAATGAGGAAGAGGAGCAGCAGTAGGAGCTGCTGGCTAGGGGGTTTGGCAGCTCTGTTTGCCAGTTGTTGGCATCGTCATCGCTTGGCGTTGATGAAATTGTTGGCTCACTTTGAATTCGCCGGCAGCAAGGACATCAGACTCCCCATCTCCATCTCCATCTCCCCCTCCCCACTTCATCTCCATCTCCATCTCTTTCGGCTGTGTGTGCCCGTGTAATAGCTTTATGCCTGGCGGCTGTGTGAACATCAAGCTCATCAAGCAACAACCGCCATGCAGCACAAACACCAACAACAACAACAACAACAACTACAACACTCGAAGCTGAGGCTGTAATTTACTCCACTTGGCGTTCAACCTGCAAGACGAGCCTTTGCCAGCCTCTGGCGGAGTGGGTGGAGTGCTCATACCTCTGCCTCTACTCTTGCCTCTTGCCCCTACCTCTGCCTCCACCTCTGCCGCCACCTCTACCTCTACCGCCTTCTCTTTCTGCCGCCTCGTTTTCGGCTTTGACTTTGGTCTTTTGGCGGCAAAGTCAATTTCAGCTCTCGCCTTCGCCTTCCTCAGCATCTTGGGCAACTCTTGCGCTTCATTTACATAATTTAATTGAATGTGACGTGGGCTGTGCCCCAGCTTGGAGCCCCTGAGCAACTGAGTCGCTGTGCACTTGAAGTTTTGCAAGTGTAGCGGGTAATGCATTTGGGGTGGGGCTAGCATAACACCTTTGAGCAAAGGCTTACAGCCAGCGATCGGCAGGAGCTAACAAAGGGCGAAAGAGCGAGTGGCGTAGACTAAGGCTTAAGGACTTGTTGGGACTCGGGAGCCAGAAGTTGCATTGAGAGAGATTGATCCCTAACTCAAAGTAAGGAAGAAAGAAGGCAATCTGAGTGAAATCTGTTGGACTGTTATTGCAATGCAGAGACAGTTGGCAAAGGGATCTCTGATAACGACAAGACGGTCTCAGGCAGCATTTCTTCTAGGCGAGCTCCCTTTGAATATAAACACCTTAGTTTCCTTTAGTCTCTCTCTGGCTCAAGGAACTCCGATCCTCAAGCATATTTGCTCACAAATAGGTTTTTAATTCCTTGCACTGAATGGATTTGCTACGCTGTGCATAAGGTCAGACCCTCCGTAAGGTTGATGGCCATTGCTGCTGCTGTTCCCATGTAAAGATATCTATATATATATCTGTATGTGTGTATAAATATGCCCTCTCCGTGGCCCCCTTTGCACTCTCGGGAAACCTCATTTCGCGAGCTTCCAACATAATCGCAATCATAATCTGCCGCATTTTATTTCATTTTCTCGCGTTGAGTTGTTTCTTTTGTTCGGTTTCATTTTGCTCTTTATGCTTTGCTGCAATTTCTTAATGGCCGCAATGCCATGGCCCCGCCGACCCCCCGCTGCCACTGCTGGATGAGTTGCAGCTCCACCAATCACGTTCGAAATATAAATTGTGGAAATGATGGTTTTTCACTACAGTTAGGAGGGGTCTCTTGGGGGGTGGGGGATCTGGGGAGGGGTCCGTGGTGGGGTCTAGTGGCAAGGCGACCTCGAAACCGCAAAGACGCTGACCAAGCAGTTTTTTCATCTCTTCTGCCTTTTTTTGGGGGCAACGCCGTGGAAAATTGTGCGGATCGCTTTGCGGAATGAAAATGCGGTTCGTGCTGCCGCCACGAAGAGGAGTCGGCTTTAATGAAAAACAAACGTAGCAGCAATTTTCCAGTTAGAACATATACATATATATAAATCTATATATTTATGAATATATCTGTGGCTGTGGCAGTTGCCCTGCATTTCGCTGAGTGTAATTTTTAATGTGCAGCTTTAACGAATTGCGCAAAAGGAGGAAAATACAACAGCAACAGAGCCAAATGAAAATAATGGGAAAAGAAGACCAAAAGCCCAAACTCGCGCTGAAATTGAGCCAGGCGCTGCAGCCCCCCGGAGGGGGACAGGTGGGGAGCGGCTGCAGCTACAACAATCACAGTTTAGATTTCTGTTACCCCCCTCGACCCTCTGCCGTGGACCCTGGACCGTGGACCGTGGACCGTGGACCGTGGACCGTCGAGCGCTTGTTGCTTTTAATATGACTTTGGCTGCTTTTCGTATGTCTTCGCCAATATTCGCCAAGGTAATAACTCAGGTGATTATAGTAATTATGCGTTCTGACGCGATCCAGCCACGGATAACGCTATTCCGATATAATTGAAAAATGCTGATAGACGCTGATTGTCCGTGTGTTGGGGACGGACTACAAGCCAGTGCTGGCCTCTCTCTCCCTCCCTGTCTCTCTGTCTCTCTGTCCCCCCGTCCGTCCGTCTGTTCGACTGGTAGCCAACATTGTCTGCCCTGTCTTTCATCTCGTCGAGTTGTGCAGCTTCGTTTCGGCTCTCTGGGCACTGGGCTTAAGAGTTAATGGACGCGCCACCAATCACAGTTCATGAATTACATTGCCAACGCCATATTGTTGTGGGAATATCAGCTCTCCCTCTCTGTCTCCCTCTCTCTCTCTCTCTCTCTCTCTCTCTCTCTGTTAGCGGCAAAAGGTTCTTTGATGCCGATTTCATTTTTCGATATTGAAAATAACCATGCATTACCTTAGCTTGAACCTTGTGAACCAGCTGCTAAAGCTCAGCTCGATTTCTCATATCGTGACAATCGCTCACTCCAGTAATAACCGCCTCTCTCCCTCTCCCTCCCCCTCCCCCTACCCACTCTCTTTCCGTCTGTCCCGTTCTGTTGTGGAAAGTGTTATTGTCACGTAAATTCAATTAGTTTAATTATGAGTCTCAGCCTTGTTGGCACCTCTGTAACGGACCTGCCCGAACGCCTCCTGCTTAGCCAAGTTAACTCAGCAACCAAATGATTTTTGGGCAACTTTTTTAATGAAAATCTCTTTTGGGCTCATTTCTTGTGGCTCGAATTGGGTGGTTCACTTAGTGGTTGCCTCAATTGCCGTGAGTGGCTCTCGAGCGAATTGTTTGTGGGTGAAATAAGTGGAGAGTCACGATATCGTCAGCCAGTTAGGCTGAGTGAATGCTTCGAGTTAATTAAAATGATTTATAAACTGCAAAACTGATCGATTCGACTGGCTGATTGGCAGAGTATGACTGACTTGAAGATACCCTGCATGTGGGAGTACGCAAAAGTCTGCTAAGCTTAGACTTGAGATTAGGCAAGGTTAGTCTATTGACTTGTTATATGCCAAAGAATGTATGTATAAGAAGAAGAGTGCCTTATCAGTCAAAATGAAGCCCTTGAATTACCAAGCAAGGCAGAACAGTAGGAGGAATAGACCTCCTTTATTAATCATGAAGACTCCTTCCTTCTTTCCTCTAACATCGAGACATGAACATCAGAAATCTTGCCCACTTTTGTTGCTTACTAAACTTACTATCGATTCCAGTCTATTCAATCGTCTCCTAACCTTAATGAAATTGAGAAAGGTTTAAGCTATAGCTAGAAAATACTCCGCCAATACTCGAGTCTGTGAAACTATTGATCATTAGCTGAGCCACTAATTGGGAAAGCTTGAGGAAATTTCTCTTCGTCGATCAATGTATTTATGACTATCCCAATAGATCGAGCACTGCTCCGATCAACCTCATGTCAAAAATAATTAATTCATATTATTGCATATATTTATATACCCATATACAAGTTATAGCCCATACTCCGCATGTCTGCCCTCTCCCAGGCTGTAAACACTCCCAGCTAAGTAAACTTCTCACAGGTGTATTTCACGCAGTCGTTGCCTTTGCCAGCTACCCTCATCAATTTGACGCTCATCTAATTGCAATTTGCGCTCATTTGTCTCTCTCTCAGCTGGCGCGCACTTGGCTGCAGTTGGGGAGTTATTATATAGAGCATCCATTATATATGTGTTCGTATGGAATAGACATTAAGTGGCGTCATTTGCCATGTGCAATGCAGGTAAATTTCATTGGCAGGATAATTTGAATATGGCAACGCCCCCAAGACAAAGAACAGGCGACAAACACCTCCATATATATAAGTGTGTGTGTGTGTGTGTGAGTGTATATAGCGTATCCATGTTGCGCCGTTATTTACCTATAGTAGGGAAATCCCTGGGGCACATGCAAATCCATGGGCATGCCGCCTCCTGCTGCCGCCGCCGCCGCCAGATGATGATGATGATGGTGCGAATGCGTGTGTGGATGCGGATGCGAGTGATGATGGTGTGGGTGCGGATGCGAGTGCGGATGCGAGTGCGGATGGCCGTGCATCGGATGCGTGTGATGGGCCGCCGCCACATTCTGGACATGCGCCGCAGCCGCTGCAGCCGCAAAGCCCGCGTCGGAGGCCATCGAGTGGTGGCCGAGCACCGCGGCCCACGGCGAGGCGACAAATCCGCTGCCATGGTGCTCCATGGCACTATATAAATCTCTCGTTCGATATACTATATATGTATATAGCTATCTATCTATATATGTATTTGTGAGCGTACGAGCGAGTGTGCGTGTGTGTGGGTATATAGCTTTTATTTATCTTTGATTTGATGTCGCACTCTGTGGCACGCCAAGATGGCGGCCATTATTTACCGTTAACGCGCATGGCCGCGGCGACGGCAACGGCGACGGCGAAGGAATTACGTACGAGCAGCCGAACCGACGGCGAATTCGCCAAAAACAAACACGCACACACACACTGATAAGCCGATACACTGAGTAGACACACACACACACACAAACAACAATACACTTGCAGTAAATCGCAGCGAAATAGCTAAAGGACATCCGACGGCTAAGCGGACGGGATATAAATGTGGACGTTGGCAAGGATAAGCGCGCGCTCTCAGCTGCCAGCTCGGCTCCGTTGGGCTTTCGCACGTTTTTGGTCCGCGTTCACCTCTGCACGGCACGAAAATTGGCGATAAACTATCGCCTCGCATCAGGAAACATGGTCGCTGGGTCGCTTGGACGTTTGCTCACTCGCTGGCTGGCTGGCTGGCTGGTGGTTGGCTGCCTCTGCCTCTGCCTCTGCCACAGTCTCTGAGCCTCTCTTCATCAACATCATCATCATGAGCATCATCATCTCAGCTGCAACTATTGCTGCTGCTGCTGCTGCTGTTGCTGCTGCTGCTGCTGCTGCATGCTGCAAATGGTGGTGGAGCAGGTTTTTTGCTCTGTGTGTGTGTGTGTGTGTGCATGTGTGAGTGGAGCCCCCAGTGAGCGCAGCCAACTGCTTTGGAGAGCAATCGCAGGCGGGCCCCGCTGCGTCGAAGTCGACAGCGGCAGCAGCAGCAGCAGCAACAGCAACAGCATCCACACACAGACACACACACACACACAGAGACACTCTTGACTGCCTTTTTGGCTTTGTTTATTGTTTTTGCGCTTTTGCTGTTTTTGCCATCAAAGTGTTGCACAAATCGGCAGACACTCTCCCGACAACAACAACAACAACAACAGCAGCAACAGCAGCAGCATCAGCAACAGCAACAACAGTTGCTGAGCGGCGGCCCCAAAGCACCAACAAAAACAACACTTGCCACATGTTTATGGCCATACGAAACAACAGCAAAAACAACAGCAACAACAACAACAACATCAGCTTAATCGTCTTCGCAGCTTCTCACCTCTTGCCTCCCGCTTTCTACACATATGCGTTCTCTCTCACTCTCTCTCTCTTTCTGTAGTCTCTCAGGTAATCGCTGCTGCTGCTGCTGCTGGCGGCATCCTCTGGAGATTTCGCTGCTCGGAACAACATTGAGTTGTGTTCCGTGCGATAAGCAAACCTACTGAGGGAGTCATTTGTGCCTGGGCAATGGCAATTGTTGCTGTTGTTTGCTGTTGTTGTTGCTGTTGCTGTTGCTGTAGCTGGCGTGCGAATTGCATTGATATTTAATGGCAACTTTGTTCAATTGTTCAATATCTTAATAAAAATATTGGCCGAGACTTTGCGAGCTTTTGCGCCACTTTTGTTATTGCGGCTATGAAATGTTTACGGCTCAGCATGGGGCAGTCTAGGATTTCAGCTGAAGTAATGTAAGTGGTCTTATATATATACTGGATTGGGGCATGTGAATTGGGGAATGTGGGAATTTCAGCTCGAGTAATGTATGTGAGCTTCACTTGGCAGATATATAAATATTTTAAGTTGCTGTTTGATAATAACAATAAATATACATAAAACTCTGTTAAGTTTTGCTTCTAGAGAAACTATCGATTGATTTGATTTGATTGGTTATTTCATGTTTCATATTAGATAGATTATTTTGCATAAAAGCAGCAGTAGATCTTAAGCGTGTCTCTTTATATAGAATGGAAAATATGCAGATTAAAATTTCTGATTGGTATAGGGATCTAGGTTTAGCTAAACCGAAAATTTTATAGATTATCTGAGTATAGATTATGCTGAGAGAATCTTAAACTTGCTTTACCATAACAACAACATATAATAAGATATGTTCGGGTGTAGCAGACGCTCTTCCAATGGTTTCCATTTTCTGCACAGAAACCTTTCTTAATTCATATACCTAAGCTTTTCTGCCACAAATTTCAACATCTTACAGTTATAAGTGTTATATCATTCAAATTTATATAGCTTATAAGTCGTTGATCAACTGCCTGTCAAAAGATTTCAATACATTTTAATCAACATATCCCAGATCCCCTAAATTAAAGCTAAAAGGTTTCCAGCTTAACATTTCTTGCTAAACTTCTTCTTCACTCTACTTTTCCACTCTTCATTTGCCAACAGAAATGCTTTGCAATATAAAATGTGTTTTCAGTCATGTTCAGAGTCCAGCTCCTCAGCCGATTCCCATAGATCTAGTTGATCATTTAAATGCATATTGTATTGTTTGCACAAAGCCATGCGAAGATGCCAGATGCCAGCTCTCAGCTCTCAGCTCTCGGCTCTCGGCTCGTTGGCTTCCAGCGCTGGGCAATCGGCTGACAACTTAGTTAAATAAGGCGCCACCTGTCAAGTCATTTTCAATAAAATAAATTCGTGATTACACGACAATATCGTCGACGAAAAATCGAAAAGATCAGCAGCGCACAACAATAACAAAAGACTCCCACGGGGAACGTTCAAGCCCGGTCTCTGAATCAGCAGCAGCAGCAGCAGCAGCAGCAGCAGCTCACGGCTGTGGTTGCTGCTGTGGCTGCTGCTGCAGCTGCTGTGGCACGGCAATCGCACACACGACTTGAGCTGAGGTCCAGAATCCTTGGCACACACTCTCATACACACTCACACATAGACACACACACGCACACATGGTAAGAGCTTTGGAGCTGCAAACTTCTGAATCGCAGTCGTGCAGGGTCAACGTCAATACTAAAAGTCTGTCTGTCTGTCTGTCCGTTTGTCCGCTTGTCTTACCCTCAGCCTGTCCGCCTGTCCGTCCGCTCGAAGTTCTGTCCCGCTGTTGTCCCACTGTCCGCGCTTGTTTACAGTGTGCAAAAATCATTTAGACAAGTTGACAAAAGCTCGTTTGGAACGTGAGTAACATGACTCGGCCTGCGGCTCAGCTCGACTCGACTCGAGTCGCCTCTCCTCGCCCCACCTCTCCTCGCCCGACCTTGCCTTGCCTTGCTGGATTTTGCCTTTTGGCATAGCTGGTTCGCTGGCTGTTTGGCTGTTTGGCTGTGTGGCTGCTTGGTCTGTTTGGGTCTTAATTCTAAACATGGCAAATGTGTAGTTGGAGCGTGCTGCCGCTGCGCCTCAGAGCACAAAATGAGGCCTTGCCCCCAGCATCCGAATCGTTGCTGACCTTTTCATTGTAATCCCAATGACATCTGCTTAGGCAGCCCCAGCTCGATGCGCCTGGCCATTGTAAGAGCACTCGCAAATGCAGAATTGCAGCTGTGATTAAGCAATTAAAGAAAGTCGGGAAGGTGTCGGCTTTGAGAGACACTGGGAGAGTCGATCAGAGATGCATTAATATAGATCTGATTGTAACTGAAAGTTAAATAGTTAAATGTACATCCCGAGCTGGGGTCTTCGACTACTTTTGTCCCCTTTCTCTTGTCTTTCCCTTCATCTCACCTTTACGACCCTCTCTCTATCTCTATATACAATATATACTCTATCTTTTTCTAGCTCTCTCTCTCCCTCTCTTTCTTGTTATCTCTATATTTCTACACTAGTTCTATAATTCCTCTTTCTTCGCTTCTTTGTCTCCTAAACTGTTTCTTGTTAATCCTTTAAATCTCTTCAATATAATGAAATTGTAATTAAATTTTGTCAACATATTTCTATAAGCACATTCTACAGATCTTTTACTCAACTATTAAGACATAATTGTGGACATGTTTCAAGTTTTACCTTTATACAATGGAACATTTATTGAGTTTATTATAAATAATGAACATATTTATATATTAAGCTTAGGCTTTTCTTGATATCTAGATATATACAACTCTATGAATAATACCAATAGAGAAATATCTCGTGAGCAGCTAAGCAGTTTTATGTCAAAGAAATACATAGGCCACACACAGTTTGTCAATTTATACTCTACATACTTCTATGTATATCTATGTACTAGATACTATATACCTAATGCATTCTGGCATATCGGCAGTCGCTGTGCGAGGAGTGACGCTCAAAATATGTGCTAAAAAGTACACAAAAACTTCTCGAATGGGATATTCGCTGGGAACTTTGCCAGAGTCGCGCGTGGCACGTGATGTGCATGCGGCATGTGGCATGCGGCAAGTGGCAAGTGGAAAGCTAAGAGCTGGATTACAATTTGCCGTAAGCCAAAGGTGACTTTGTCTCTTTGACTATTGATTTTCTCGCCACATTTTAATGAAATTTTGAAATTTTCGCGCAATTTTTAATTTATAAAAATTTAAAGAAAACAAAGAAGCAGAAAAGAAAAGGAAAAAAAAACTTTGTTGCGCACTTGATTTATGCAGTTGGCATTGACAGCTTTATCTTTGGGATCAGAATGTGCAGTTACGAGAGACCTTACCTTGCCTGATTGATTCGCTGAAAGTCGAATGGAAATTATAAAGCCAGACGGACAGACAGAGAGACAGACGGACAGACAAACGGACAGATATATAAACAAATAAGCCGAGTCGCGGCTTTAACGAGCTAACCGTTGCTTCGCAGTTGGCTGGGGCCTTACGTGCCTATCATATTAAGCACTGGATAATACTCGATTACTCTCGGTACACTCTCTATACCCGGTACTCGGGTCTGTTTGCCCCGAGCTGGGCCTACGAACAATTTTTGTTTTTGGTAGCTGCTGTCGTGCATTCCAAACGACCCTCGCCTCGCCAAGACACTTGGCAACCAAAATCAAATATATAAGCGAAACGAAACGAGACGAAACGAGACGAAACAAAACGAACAACAGAGAGGAAAAATCAAATTCGTAGAATTCGTCGATATTTATGAGTTTGGGCCGGGATTTGCATAACTGGGTCTCCGACATACCTTACATGCTTAATTTCCAAGAGGCCGAAGCCACAGCCACAGCCACAGCCACAGCCAAAGCCGAGGCCGAGAAACTTTCGAAAAGAAATGCGTCTAAGGGATGCAGCGGAAGTGGCGGACTCAACTCGAGTCGCAGGCTCGCATCCCGATATTGATTTCCTGCAACGCTGATGAGTACGTGACGAGCCTGCTAAGGCTGCCTCAGCACTGACCAGACTCCGTCTTCGGCCTCAGGTAACCGCTGCTCAGGTGTTGTATGCAAAAGTCGCATTTGCGGAACGTGTGAACAGTTTTTAGCAATTAACTAGGGCCCTGCAAGACACTCAGCCAAGACACTCCCTCCCTCTCTCACACTCCGTTTTCGTGTGGCGTCATGCAGTCTGGCCCCGTG